AATTTCATAAATTGTTATCTTTTTAAAAAAGTTTTTTCTTAGTATATGTTTGTGATACACAATGAATGCATTCATTGTGGGGGTTTGGTACCTGTACATATTTCATCTTAATCCTGTTTTTACTTACCCTTTCCCCTTCCCTCGTCCTCTCCCTCCATTTCTAGATCCCTTTCCCATCTCTTACTTTGCTTCTAAAAATGTTTCTAGTTGATTCTTTCAAATCAGGGATACAATCACAGCCTCACAAATGATGATAATGAGGCCTCTTCATTTGTGTACTGTGTTTGCTATGTTCTAACCCTAACTGGATTGAGTGAGGCTTCCAGAGCCAGATGAATCAAGTGCTAATGGTCACCCTTTCTTGTTCTTGCCTCTAATGGGGCTGCTTCTAGGGCAGCACCATTAATCAAGGTGCTGTGGGCCATATTGGGGAAAATATCAATCTTCACCATTTTACTAAAGATTAAATAAACCTAAGAATGGATATTGATTTTACCAAATATTATTTTATTTATCCTTCTATTTATTAGCATGTGAATGATCAGAAATTTCTAAATATTGATCCAGTGAACTAATACTGTTAATATTTTAATGGTGGCTGGATTATATTCAGTGATATTTAACTTGGAAACATGTTTTGAAATTCCTGAGAGAGCCTGAGTAGCAGATTTCTCCTGTGCTGTCATCAGCAATTTCAGAATAGAGATTTTTGTAGCCTGAGTCTAATTAGTGTGAGAAAAGAAGGAATTCACTCCTGGAGCCAAAAGAACTGGCATTTCTTGGTTGCTTGGTCTTTGAAAATTTTCAGGATCACATCCAACTGAGCAGCTTCTGCACAGCAAAGGAAACAATCAACAGAGTGAAGAGACTTTCTACAGAATGAGAGAAAATATTAGCAAACTATACATCTGACAAAAGCTAATATCCAGAACACATAAGGAACTCAAATGTCAAAGCAAAACCAAAATAATTGAACTTAAAAAGAGACCTGAATAGTTATTGAAGAGAACACACATAGTAGCCAATAGGTATTTGAAAAGAAATGCTCAATGTTATTAATAATCAGGGAAATGCAAATCAAAACCACAATGAGATATCATCTTACCCTATTTAGAATGATTATTATCAATAGATAAAGAAAAAAATGTTGATGAAGATGTGGAGAAAGGAGAACTCATAATTTGTAGATAGGAAAGAAATCAGTCAAACCATTATAGAAAATGGTATGGTACCAGGGATCAAACTCAGGACCTCGTGCTTGTCAGACAGGCACTGTGCCGCTGAGCTAAATTCTCAGCCCTAAAAAAAATTTTTTTCAGACAGGGTCTTGCTGTGCAGTTCAGGCTGACCTTGAGTTCACTGTGTAGCCCAAGCTGGCCTCGAACTTGTGGTGACCCTCCTGCCTCAGCATCCCGAGTGCTGGGAGTATAGGCATGTGCTACCACTCCTGGCAATCCTCAAAAAAATTTAAAAATAGAGCTACCACATAATCCAGCAAACCCATTGCTGGTATATATTCAAAATGAAACACACATGTTGAAGAAGCACCTGCACTCCCATGTCTATTGCAGCATTATCCACAGTAGCCAAAATACAAAATCAACCCCAGTGCCTGTCAATGGTTGGATGCATGCAGAACATGTGGACATGTACACAACAGAACGTCATCCAGCCACAAGAAGCATGAAGTCCTTCCACCTGTGACAACATAGACAGACATGTATGACACTATGTTAAGTGAAGTAAGTCAGACATCCAAAGATAAATACCATATGAACTCACTCATATGTGGAATCTCAAAACGTTGGGTCAAGGAAGAGAGGAGAATGGTGGTTGCCAGGGGGAGGATCTCTTGGTGGGAGGTAGATGCTGGTTAAAGGGTACACAATTGCAGTTAGATTGGGAATGTAAATTTCAAGAGATGGTAATATATTGTATTGTATTATATTGTATTCTTTTTTTTTTTTTGGTACCAGGGATCAAATATATTGTATTCTTGAAAAATATAAAGAATGATGTAAAGTCACCACAAAAATGATAATTATGTGAGGTAATACAAATTATGTTAACTAGCTCAACTTAACCACAATGTATACACACTTCAAAACATGTTGTATAGGGGCCAGGGATTTAGCTCAGTGCTTCCACTGCCTGCCTTGCAAGCACAAGGACCTGAGTTCGATCCCCAGCACCAAAAAACCCCCCCCAAAAACCCCAACCATGTTGTATATAATAAAGTTCCATGTCATCTGTAAATTTAAAAATTAAACATTTAAAAAATGAATCAACTTATAAATTTTGATATGTAATATTTCAATTTTTACTATTTTCTAGGCAGTCTGAGAATGTTTTCCCTTTTTATTGAGATGTTACTTATATACCTTAACTCACCAGTTTTAATTGTGTAGCTTTGAAGAATTTGGAATTGTAAGTGATTGTGGACACCGCACTACAATCAAGATAGGTTCGACCCTCACCCTAAATACCCTTGTACACTCAACAGATCTGCTTCTGCTGGTTTTGCCTTTTGTACCTTCTTTTAAAATGGAAGTCATACAGTCTATCTCTCTCTGTTTTTGTCTTCTCTCGCTATCATGTCAGTGAAGCTTATCTGTGTTGTTATGTGTTAGGATTTCATTCCTTTTGTTAGGTTGTATTGAGAAGTAAGTGTAAAACCTGGCAGCTGGGAGCCCAAGAGGGATTACAGTGTTAGAGAGCTAACAGAAATAGCACTTGGTTGTTTGCTGCGTGTGGTCAGGGTTTGCCCACAGATCTCACCTCCAATCCTCAGAGAGCATTGCTTTTCAGTGAGCCAACACCACGGGGAGCTTGGCTGTGAGGGGCATGTGGGCTGAGGAGGGAGGCAGTTCCAGGATGCAGCCCCTCCTTCCAGTTTCCCATATTTCGGTCTTTATTTCATTTTATCTGTTGTCCTCATCCTCCTTACTATACAATTAGTCTTTGTCTTCACCTTCTTTAGTGGAAGAAGTCCAGTTTGTGCTCCACTAGTAATGGCTTTTATATATATAGTCATTTTTTTTTTGGTACCGGGGATCGAACTCAGGTCCTTGGCTTGCATAGCAGGCAGCGAAACCACTGAGCTAAATCTCCGGCCCAGCTTATATATTTAAAACATTATTTGAAGTCTCCTGTTTAGCAAGCTTAGAAATAAAAGCATGTATGTTGATGGCCTCTGTCATAAATAATAATGGCATAAATAAATATCCATTGTAAGTTTCCTTCTTCCCTTTCCACTTTCACCTTATTGTTTTGCTGTCTCATCATTGGTCTGGGTAACAAACTATCACTGATTACTTATTATTTTGATATAATTTCCAGAGAAAAACAGAAGAGATTTTAAGTTATTTTATGTTTAACTGTCAGACTTTTACCTTGTGTGATTCACCACTATTATATCTTTAAAGAAAATTTGCATGGAGGTTTGGAGGGTGATACCATTTCCAAATTCTTTTGTATTTGAAGATATTATTCTGCTGCTTTTCCTCGCAAACAGAATCCTAGAAGGGCATGGAGTTAGTTGGGTGTGGTGGTGCACTCCTGTTGTCCACCACTTTGGGAAGCTGAGCACAAGTCTGAGCCTGAGCAAATTAGAGAGAGCTGCTCTCTGGAGCAAGCGCCTCACGACAGTGGTGTCTGCTGGAAAGCAGCAGGAAGAGGTGCAGTCCTTGTTCAGAGGGATCTGCCCCTACCCCTGCACACTGTGGCGACACTGTGGGGAAGAGGATGTAATCTATTGGACCCCTGTTCACTCTGCGCAGGACACAGTCTGTGTGACCTCTGGGGTGGGGTTCTCTTGGGTGGAGCTGCCTTCTCTACTGTTTGTTCTCTTTATGCATTTTCTCTACTTTTTGAAAGGGGGATTGTATAGCATTCCTTTTAACCATCTTTTGGGAAGTTCTTTCTCTCTGTTTTGTATTTTTAAATTGCTATAACTATATTTCTTTTTTATTTCTCACTTTTTTTTGGTGTTTTTTTGTTTTGCTTTTGGTACCGGGGCTCAAACTCGGGTCCTTGCGCTTGCGAGGCAGGCAGTGGAACCACTGAGCAAAATCCCCAGCCCTCTTTTTTATTTCTCATTTCACATATAGTTGTTCCTCTGTATCCAAAGGGAATTAGTTCCAGGAGGCCCTCAGATACCAAAACATCCCAGTTCTCAAACCCCTTAGATGAAATGGCACATATTACCCAGGCACGTCCTTGCCATGTTAAATCATCTCTAGATTACTCACAGTACCTAATACAGTGGAAATGCTGAATACATAGTTGTTATATGGGGTTGTTTAGGGGATAATAATAAGAAAATGTACACATGCTTTCTTTTTTGGTACTGGGGATCAAACTCGGGACCTTGCACTTTCAAGGCAGGCAGCGGAACCACTGAGCTAAATCCCTAGCCCTACACATGCTTCCCCCCCCCCCCCAAATATTTTCACTATGCTGTGTTGAACACATGGTTTGGGATGATCATGTTTGTCTTTTAAAATTTATTTTTCTTAATTAAGATAGCCTAAAATTTACCTTACATTTCCCACCTGCAAGCACAAGAAGCAGCCAACTTACTGGAAGCCAATTAATTCACTGGAGGAGTTAATTCATCAAATGATAAACTCAGTCTTTTAAAAACAGATCTGTTGTGTGCAGTGAATGTTGTGGCTCCCCACACCCCTGCCACCAACCTTCATATGTTGAAGCCCTAGGTGGCTATGTGATAGATATTTGGAGTGGGGACTGTGAGAAGTAATTAGGCTTAGATGAGGTAGGGAGATGGTGTCCTTCCAGTGGGGCCAGTGCCCTTTGAAGAAGGGAAAGGCAGTCTTTCTTTCCAGCATGCCCCGGGGAAAAGCCTTGTGGGGACACAGTGAGGAGGGAGATGCAGTCTGCAAGCCAGGAAGAGGCTCCTCCCAGGACCTGACCATGTTGGCACCCGGCCTGGGACTTCCAGCCTCCAGAACTGTGAGAAAACAAGTGTTGGAGCCACTCAGTCTACGGTATTTTGCTATAGCAACCCAAGCTAAGGCACTATCTAGTTCCTAAAACCTTGTTGTAAGAAACATGGTCCTGTGCTTGCTTTGGCAGCACAGATACTAAAACTGGAACAATGCAGAGAAAATTAGCATCGTCCCTGTGCAACGATGACATGAAATTCATGAAGCGTTCCACATTTTTGAGTCTAGAGTGCTTTCCTTTCTTCCAACTTTGCAAAAATTGGCCAAAGCTCCTGCATTGTCTCCTTTAGCTGCAGTAGATCTCACAAATGTTGCTGAGCTGCTTGCAAATCTAACAAAACCCAGCAGATTAAATCCTCAGGCCAAGAATCCCCAGGACTATCAGGCCTTAATAGTACACTACAACTTGGCTATAAATTTTGCAATTTGATCTTAACAAGTCGATTCTCACCAGAAATTTGGGGCTATGCAAAAGCTTCGAGTTCTTTAGAACTCAGCAGCAATCTTGCAAAAGATCTTCTGGTTCTACTGAAAGGGATTCTGGAGAAATCAAAAGATGGGGCATTCTGAGAGCTTGGGAGAAAGTCAAGATTGGGTTAGAAAAAGGAAATAAAGAATTTGGTGGCTAGTCTGTAGCAGCGCAGGATACCAGCACAATTCCATCTATCTTTCAAAATGAAGATGCAAAGAATAAAGAAATACATATGACTCCTCTCTGGGATATAAAAGCAACCTAAGGATCAAGCTCCACTCAGCAAAAGACTTACAATGGATGGGGAAAAGTGACAGTGTTAGCTAGGACAAACAGGAGATGGAAGACTGCTGAGGCTAATTCTGGAAGTGATCATGAGGTTCCAGAGCCAGAATCAGAAATGAAGGTGAGATTATTAAGTAGAACTGAATCGGCAGCACTAGGAAAAAGCAAACTGAACCTGGCACAATTTCTCAATGAAGATATTCATTACGAGATATGATGGAAGTGGAATTCTTTAGAATTGTGTTCATTTTTCTGCTTTAATAAAGTTATTCTTGGGCCTGGGATTTAGTGCAGTGGCACCATACCTGCCTCACAAGTGCAAGGTCCTGAGTTCGGTCCCTGGTACCCCCCCAAAATAAATAAAGTTATTCTTGTGCTAAAATTGAAAAAGGAAGCATAGTCCTTTAAGATATACTTTTGAGTGGGAATCTATTCTATTTTCTTCTATTTTCCTTGATCGTACTAATTCAACAAAATGTTTATCAATCACTGTTCTTGGTTCTAAGAATAAGAGGAGAGAACAAAACAGATAAAGTTTTGGCTCTCATGGAGATTTGGCTCTGACATTGAAACAGTGTGTGTGCGTGTGTGTATGTGCACACACACGAGCCAGGGACTTTTTGGTAGAAGTGGTGTGGCTCCCCCAACCGTGTCAGGCTCCTGGGCAGACAGGACACAGGAAGAAGGTGGTTCTCTGGTGTCTTCTGGGGGTTGGGGGGTATGGTTGAGGAGAAGACATGGCCTGGGGGCTTTCTTTTAGCAGCAGGTGTCTCCACGGATGGGAAGGGTGATAGTGCAGGAGAGGGAAGGATGTTCTTGAGTAGCCAAGAGGGGTGGGGCAGAGGATGCAGGGTATGGGGCTGGTCTTTGCTGGGATCAAGGAAAGTTACTGGGATCCTGGAAAGCAACAGGACCAGAACTGGAGCACTGGGCTAGGGGAGAGCAAGTTGGTAGATGGATGGGACCAGGTGGAACAATTCTTCCCTTGGCTTCTGATTTCTCCCTGAAGTGGAGGCAGGGCCCGAAGCTGCAAGGGCAGAGGGGGATTAAATTGACCCATAGCCCAGAAATCAGCTCTTGGGTGGATTTATCATTTCACAGATTTTTCATTTTATCTCCTCATTTTCTACTTTATATCAAATTCT